AGCCCCTCTGCTGAGGGGGCGGGGGGCGCCGCGGGGCCTTTTCCTCTCAGCAACAAGTCGCTTGCGGGAGGTGACAGCCCCGTGCGTGTTTTGAGGGCGGAGGTCTCACAGCCTCGTCGAGAAGGGCTTGTCTGAGTAGGCAGGAGACGAGACCTGTGAGGTGACAGCAAAGGCTTCAACGTAGGCTGTCGCATTGTTGTATTGGAAAAAGTAATTTAAAAACCACCCGGTATTTGTTGTTTCTGCGTTAATTTAGGGGTACAGAAATGACTAGTGTGTGTTGTCAGTTGCTTGTTCTACAGAAGGCCTTCTCTGTTTTTAGTTCTTATTTCCCTTTGCTTTGTCTGTTTCTGTGTCATTTCTGGAGTGGGGAAACCAAAGCTGCCCATGGTAGATTGGTTGATGTAGATTAATTTACACAAAATACAGAAAAGTTTGCTGTTCTCTCTCAAACTGAAAAAGGGCTTTCGTCTGCTTTTGAGTATTAAGACAATGTTTACAGAAAATGGTAATTTGAGATCTTGCTTTCTGGTGGTAATGGTAATAATGGAGCCCATCACTGAATTTATAACTAAGGCAGCTCCATCCCTGCATACATTTACCTTTTCTTAAATTATTTAATTACCATTTTATAATGGGGGGTGTCTGGAGTTCTATTTACTTACCTGTTCTGAATGACACGGTGTTGACAGTATAATTTGCCATCTTCATGCTTTTTTTCTCCATGTGAAATACTGAGAGTCTGTTGCAGGACCCTCTGTTCCTCCCTTGCCCAAGTAAATTGTTCTTTCACTCTGTTACTTTAAGCAGATGTTTTTCCAAGGATGTTTCCTTATATCCACAGTTAATTTCTTACATAACATTTATACTGATGGCAAATTTTGCAATTGGTCATGTCATTTGATAGATGTGTTTGCAAAATCTGTTTAAATCAGTTAAGAGAAACATGTTTTGGTCAAGTCATAATTGTTCTTTTCTTATGCAGCTGAGTAGATGAATTGAAAAAATGGCAGCCAGGAATGAGATGCAGGTATGTGTTTATGGACCAAAATATGAGTATTGATTGTTTTATTTACTAGCTTAAAGCACTCCTGGTTTTAAATTCCAAGTAAAATTTGCAGTGTGGCAAAGAACGTGGTAGGAAGAAATTTTCCTTTTACATAGGTTAGTGCTGAGTAGTCAAGTAGAAGCCAAGTGGAACTGGAAGTTGTTCTTGATGAAAATAAATCTTATGCCTTGAATCATACTTACAGTGAAAATGTAGAAATCTGGTTATAATTGATTTACAAAGAGTAGAGTGGCAAAATAGTTGAGTAAGGCAGCAGACCTCAGACATGTTAGTATCTTTCAAAGTCACTCATAGTTAGCTTAGACATGCAAAATATTAAATGAACTAAGGAAGGGATATTAACACAGAGAGCACTGATATAAGCATTTATTTGTAATATGAGGAAAGAAAAAAACATTTAAATGAGGAAAATGGGTAAATAATTAAAAATTTGCTGAGTAAGTATTTGCATGATTAATGTATTCAATGTGTTCTCCATTTTAGGCTTTACTTTTAATTATTTTGTAATTCAGAGTATTTGCTTAGAATGCAACACATGATTGCATAAACCAATCTATTAAGTCTTGTTAAGTCAAGTGTTAAATGTGAGGTAATGCATTTGCTCTGTTTTGTTGTTGACAGTTTGAAAAGTTAATTGATGAAGCTACAAGGAAAAAAGACTTCCAATTATTAGAACAATTTCTGGCAACAGAAGACTGTGAGAATGTCTCTCACAAATGCAGCAAACAGTTTGTCAACAAATTAGACAAGCTTCTGTGTCAGGTAGTGTAATTATTACATCAGAATCATCTCTACTGTCATAATAGTGTGAAAAAAAATTCTTTTTTTATTTGTCGTATTTTATACCAGGAGTTGATTTGAAAAACTTAAATAAAATTTAAGAATGAAATCTCAGCTTCATGGCTTTTGTTGACAAAAAGGCATCTGGTTAGTTAAATACAGGTTTTTCTAGAACTGTACACTAAAGCTTATGTTGTAATTTCAATTTCAGGAACTTGACAAGGAAGAAGTCAAAAGCGTTTCCACTTTACTAAATTATATTCAGAAATTTGGGGAAAAAATCAGCATAGCAGGAGAAGATGGGCTCCCAGCCCTGATGAAATATGGCCTTATTGGAAGGATAAGTAAAACCATAAACATACATTAACTTATAAAAAAATTATGCATGCTTTATTTATTTATATATATATATATGTAAAAAGGAATCCTTCAGTGCTGAACAGCTTAGTGTTCTGTTTGGTCCTTGATTGTTTCTGAATTAAGAATCTCCCATATCTTTGCAACAAACATTGGGATTTAAATGTTTGACACATAACTCCTTAAAAAGCAACACTGCTTTACCACAGTGAAGGTTTTGCAAATTATGCAATATATAATTAATTTCAGTATTCTTCCAGCAATTACAACAAGATATCTTTTTATATGAGTTTGCTTTTGAGTCAGGAATTGGAATTTCTTTGTCCAATTTAATTAATTTTTCTTATTAATACTTGGAACAGCATTAGTGTACCTGTTCTTTAATAGATTCTAGTGCTATCCTGATTATTTTGTGTTCTTTCAATCCGCATGTTAAATGTGTTAATCAGTTGTAATTCAACGTAATAAATATACTGCAAAATATATGCCACTTGTTGCTTTCACTGAGGATTTCACCAAAGAAAATTAATGTCAGATGAATATTACTCAATTGCCTTCTCAACTGCTTTAATTAAAAAAAAAATTAGTGTGATGATAACTTCATGCTTATATTCAGTCCTACAGATAAACTGCATTACTTCCGCCATTAGCCATTTTCAGTGATGGCAGTTGTTAACGTAGATCTCTAGTCTTGGTGTTGGAAAGTCAGCTACAGAAATTACTTGCATTAGTTTGAAATCCCACATTTGTATTTTGTGAGTGAAAAATTTCAGTCTGGGGCTAAAGTACACTCATCAGACTGGTAATGTTGCTGTTTTAATATTTGTATAGTTTGTATATTTTTACTTAAGCATAATACAAACCATTCTTCTCTTTCCTGCTATTAAAATACATTTACTTCTGTTTTCCCTATACATGGTTAATTGGTTTGAAAAGGTGAAAGGAATTTTTATCCTCAAAGGAAATGAGAAGAGTGAAATGCTTACAAATCTGGCTGAGGATTTCTTCAACGTGTTGCTGGTAAACATATATTGATAAAGAATACATTGTGTATATGTGTCAAAATAATTACTACTAGTTTAACAAGAAAGAGACTTTCAAATGTGTTTCTATTCAATATCCTTATAAAGTTAATCTTACAATAATACCTGAAACAGATTGTAAGTCTTTTTGGGGAAGTAGTTTGCCTGTATTCTTACTTATTATCTGTTCATGATTAGCATCATGAAATGGAATTTAAAAACTCCAACAACATAAGTGTTCAATGTACAAAAAAATTTCATCTTGGTCAAATTTTGGTTACATAAATTATTGGTATGCTAATTCCAGTGCCTCAAGTTTGTAACATTCCTGAGTTTTCTTCTGTTTGTCATTGGGGAAATAATTTCCAGGAATGTAGCTGAAGTATAGTTTTGGGAAACTACACTTGGTGTTAGAAGTATCTTACATTCTTCATTAAGGATTAAATAATTTTAAAATATTAAGTGCTTTTTGACTACTTGCTTTGGGTACATATTAACTGATTTTTATGCTGTAATATTGACAGTATCAACATGATATGTTCTGCTTTGTTTTTATTGTAGGCTGTATGTGATAGCAGACCTGAAGGTGAGCCTGAAGTGTGCACTAAATATGATTAAGTGTTCTGAAAGAGACATTTTAAAGTTATCAGACTTAAAATGGCTCTTAGTAATTGTGGAGCCAGCTTGAGGCAAAGTAGTTCTGAGAAGAACATGTAATGAGGGTTGAACAAAGCCTCTTGATCTGATGTAAATATACCACCTGATCTATATGCTTCAACTAATAAACTGTAACAGAAAAGGCCTTATTCTTGTGCACAAAGTTCTCATTGATATGAAAAAAGGTTGAATGTCAACTGAAACTTTGTTGTTTATTTTGAAGCTTCTTTGCTGGCATTTTCTTTTAACTTGCTGATGTCAGTAATAAAAAAGCAGGATGGTCTAGTCTCCTCAGAGATGGCAACCAAACTGTTTTTCCTAAGAAGAAATGCTTCTAAACTGCTCTCCTAGTTTAGCATAACACAGGAGGCCTTTACTGACCTTCCTGCCATGTGTATCATATCACTCTGCTCTTGCCTTTCAGCGTAGCACCAGGTAGACAGGCACTGCAGACTATTGTGCTGGCAGGATCAAAATGGAAGATTCATCTCCTTGTCCCTGGGAAGATAAATTCCAGGGTCTGAATTCTATCTCAGAGAGCAAAGTTATCAATTTATTAATTTATCAGATTATTTTTTAAAAACAATTATGTCATGCCCAGGGGATTTAGGCTGTGATGCACAGTAATAGAAACCTCACAAAGAGCCATATTTAATATAAATTGCAGTAACTGCTGTCTTTCATTTAACCATGAAGCTTAAGACATTTGTTTTTAAATATCACTAATCCTGTATGGAAAGGAAGGCATGCTATGTTTTATTTTTAAATGAAAACGAATCTCTTTCCAAATGCAGATGAGGGGGCACCCTGATACGCTCTCTGTAACTTGCAGTTTTTTTCTGTTCAATAGGTAAAACAGAAATACTAGAAAACTTTGTTCTGAGAACATGTACCCTCATCGCTGATGTAAGAATTAGTATTTATGTTCAGCACGAGGTAAATATTCTGCTTTCTAATAGCAGTTTTCTGGTTAGTGTTCTAACAGACTTTGTGAAGGTAATAATTTAATTGTACAGATGCTACAAAAAAAGTAAAAATAATGTTTTAGTACTCTAGTATCAGAAGGATGATTTACTGTTTCTCTGGCAATGTTTGTTGTCATTTATATGTTGAGTTTTTTTCAGGTTACCTATAATTTCTGTTTTGGACAGTAAACTACAAAGCAGTGGTATTAAGATTGTGATGAGAAAGCTGTATAAAAGCTTAAGAAATTATATACTCTGTTACAACTGCTATAAATAGGTTTAAACTTGTTGGCTGTAAATCCTTCATATACTTGGAAGCAAATTTGTATGCCTTCTAGTATACTGCAGATTTTTCCTATTTGTGTTCATAACCTCATGCTGTCAGGGATTTTTTTCTTCCTCTAAAGAAAGGGAAAGTTACAAGAAGTCTTCTGTAGAGGCTGCATCCCCAAGGGAAAGGCTTTTTAATGCAAATTTAAGGTACACTTTAGCTGAGCAGACAACTGGAGACAGTACTCCAGCTTTGAAAAGTTTTTTACTATATTTAAACCTTTAACAACAGATGTTTACATTAAAGCTAATGTAATTTATTGAAAACATGGTAGTTACCTTAAGATAAATAGCATTTAAGGTCAGATAGCATTCATCTTTTCTTGTTTTGCAATTATTTAAGCATGTTGTTTTCTTCAGCGGTATGAAATGTATTACAAAGGCTCAAAATAAGAACAAGTTAAACTTTAACAACTTAGTTTATATTTAATCCTTCTCCCGTCTCTCCACTTTCCTTAGGTAGTAAGAAAACTTAATTTAATGCTTGACAACACGCCTCGAGATGCCAAGAAAAAGATCTTTTCTACAAAGGAAATGTTGCTTGCCATGTAAGTAATCTTCAGCATAATTTTTGTATCACTACATCATTTGCATAGCTGAGCAGGCAGTTTTTGCTAAGGGTGTTTATAATGCATGCAGATTGGTCTCTCTTTAACTCACTTTTGTGTTTGCCAGTGGTGGTGGCTGTGGGCAGGTATTCTTACGGGTTATTCTCCATTACAAGACTAAATTTTCCTCTTTCCATTCCCTATCTGGGTTAGGCTTCTTCTCATTCTAGTTGTCTTAAAATAAGCTCTCGTGTATAAGAATGTGTGTAAAGCCCAGTAAGTCAGTCACTGGAAGGACAAACTATTCACACTGGGAATTCTTTTGCACGTTTCAGAAATAAAATATGCAGCACATGATAAACTGCCACGGTAGTACTTTCAGATGTATATCCTTGGCATAACAGACTTACCCCTCTGAAGTCTACTAGTTTAGTGGAATCAGGGGTTCATCTCGTTTACTCATAGCTGTCTCAAACATTTGATAAACTTTTCTTCTATGCTTTGTATTTCTGCTACGTTTTGATGAAATGTTACTTTGTCTGGCAGGAGTGACATGGGGAGGAGAATTTTGGATGCTGGAGGTGAGCATGGGACTTAATTTGTATTGATCTTCTTTAAAGTTCATAGTGACTCCTTAAAAAATCTAGAGAAGACATTTAGAAGCTGCAGAATGTTGTAGTTGCAGTCCCTCTGAAAAGTACAAATACTGTGTGAAAACAGTCTGCAAATGGGAATGTTTCAGAAGTAGTTTTATCAGTATGAATATATGTTTTAAAATAGCAAAAGCTTGTAAGGAATTCAGTCTTCGAGGACAGTGAACTGCTAGCCATGCTTGGTAGTACTATTAACTTCTCTCAGGGGTCACTTTGGTATCTTAATTTCCCAATTCAGGCAGGGGAAGGTTGAAAACTTTTGTCTTGTTTCTATCCCCAGTGTTGTTCTGATATTTCTTGAAAGTTTGGTTGACATTTCATTTTGATAAGTTGTTTAGTCATCGATACTCACTTAGGTTTTTATATCCTTTATGGGTTGCATATTTGGATACAATGTGATACATAACATGAAATGATCAGCCCTGCTTATCCCTGTTTCCTATATAATAATATTTTTTTTTCGCATCAGTCGTGTCTTTAAAACTCCTGTTCCTGTAACATGTATTGTGCTGTAGACTATGACCTGCAGGTAGCCATCACAGAAGCTTTATGCAGAATGGTGTCAGAGAAACAAAGAGGAGAACTGGCAAGCCAGTGGTTTTCCATGGAGTTTGTGTCAAATGCATTTAAAGGAATTAAAGATTCTGAGTTTGAAACAGTAAGTCATATGAACAGTATTTCCAGAAAGGTAGACTTTAATTTAACAATTCTTAAAGAAATTTCTGTATTTTAATAGGATTGCAGAAAATTTCTTAACCAGGTCAATGGCATGCTTGGAGACAAAAGAAGGTAAGACTGTTTGTATTTTTTTTTAAAAAAGCTAATGTTTTATCTTTTTTGGATTTTATGGCTATTCATCAGGAGTAACCTTTGAATCAGAAAAACTGGTTTTGGGAAACTCCTGAATGAAAATAATACAGGCAACTTAAGACCAATATTGCTATGATATAAAGTCAAGGAACAACAGAGACTTCAAGATATTTTAAAAATATTAAATAGTAAAGAAATTGAGTGATATCTATCGAGGTGTTAATTTTATAGAATTCCTATATTAGGAGTAAAAGGCAACCATGAGGTAAGTTTCAGATTATTAGATAACAGCTTGAAGAAACTGTTCACTAAAAGAACATTCATTTGAGAAGATTCTTGATGTAAAGCTTATGCTACACTTCCTTTAACTGTAGCAAGGAATCTGTTGGTATATATTCCTTTAGTTATTTATTTAGGATATTTACATTGAAATAATCATAGAATCATAGAATCATAGAATCATAGAATCTTAGGGGCTGGAAGGGACCTCGAGAGATCATCTAGTCCAACCCCCCTGCCAGAGCAGGGTCACCTAGAGTACATCACACAGGAACTCATCCAGGTGGGTTTTGAATGTCTCCAGTGAGGGAGACTCCACAACCTCCCTGGGCAGCCTGTTCCAGTGCTCTGTCACTCTCACAGTAAAAAAATTTTTTCGGATATTCACCTTGAACCTCCTATGCTCCAATTTACACCCATTACCCCTTGTCCTATCACTGGTCATCACTGAGAAAAGCCTAACTCCATCCCCCTGACACTCACCCCTTACATATTTGTAAACATTGATGAGGTCACCCCTCAGTCTCCTTTTCTCCAAGCTAAAGAGACCCAGCTCCCTCAGCCTTTCCTCATCATCTTCGTAGCTCTGCGCTGGACTCTTTCGAGCAGTTCCCTGTCCTTTTTGAACTGAGGGGCCCAGAACTGGACACAATACTCCAGATGTGGCCTCACCAATGCAGAATAGAGGGGGAGGAGAACCTCTCTTGACCTACTAACCACACCCTTTCTAATGCACCCCAGGATGCCATTGGCCTTCTTGGCCACAAGGGCACATTGCTGGCTCATGGTCATCCTCCTGTCTACCAGGACCCCCAGGTCTCTTTCACCTACACTACTCTCCAGCAGTTCAGCCCCCAACCTGTACTGGGACATGGTGTTGTTCTTCCCCAAATGTAAAACTCTGCACTTCCCCTTGTTGAATTTCATCATGTTTCTCCCCGCCCAACTCTCCAACCTATCTAAGTCTCTCTGAATGGCAGCACAGCCTTCTGGTGTGTCAGCCACTCCTCCCAGCTTAGTGTCATCAGCAAACTTGCTGAGGGTACATTCTATACCCTCATCCAGGTCGTTGATGAAGATGTTGAACAACACCGGTCCCAGCACCGACCCTTGTGGGACTCCACTAGTAACACACCTCCAACCAGATTCTACCCCATTGACTACAACTCTCTGACTCCTTCCTTTCAACCAGTTCCTAATCCACCTCACTTCCTGGTCACCAAACCCATACCTGATCAACTTATCCACAAGGATGCTGTGGGAGACGGTGTCAAATGCTTTACTGAAATCAAGATAAACCACATCTACCGCTCTACCATCATCTATCCACCTAGTAATTTCCTCATAGAAGGCTATGAGGTTAGTCAAACATGATTTACCCTTGATAAAACCATGCTGACTGCTCTTGATGACCCCCATGTCCTTGATGTGCCTGGAGATAGTGACAAGAACAAGTTGTTCCATCACCTTTCCAGGGATGGAGGTGAGGCTGACCGGTCTATAGTTACCCGGGTCCTCCTTCTTGCCCTTCTTGTAGACTGGAGTGACATTTGCTATCCTCCAGTCCTCAGGCACCTCACCTGTTGCCCATGATTTACTGAAGATGATGGAGAGTGGCCTAGCAATGACCTCCGCCAGCTCCCTCAGCACCCTTGGGTGCATTCCATCTGGACCCATTGATTTATGGATGTCCAGATGAATAATAATGATGAATGAGGATGTCTGTTAGAGAAATCGGACACAAAAAGGAAGAGAAAACATTTCTTACCTATAGGATCATATGCTCTGCATGTTAATTTTATTTGTTGTGACAGCAGAGAGATTGCCTGGTCTGTCTTTGTATCAGGTGTATATTCAGTTTGAGTACCATTCTTAAATACCAGCAGATAAGCTAGAAATATTAACATGGTGACAAAAGGTCTGAGACCACTGCTTTCACGATAGGATACATAAGATTTCATGTTATCTCCCTTTGGGAAGAAGTGAAGTCAAGTGAGTGCTCTTTTGATTGCTGTGATCCCTTAGTCTCTAAATCCCACAAGTTTTGTGCTGAAAAAACAATCCGCTTGTTTTGTTCAGATAGAAAAAATCATTTACAGCATTTTTGGATACTTGACACAATATCCTTTTCTTGCAGGGTTTTTACATACCCATGTTTATCAGCAGCTCTTGATAAATATGAGGTAAGTTACAGGCATAATCATATATTCACAGATTTTCGTTTGTGCAGCTGAAGTTCTTTGCCTTCTAATTAAGAAAAAATAAGGCTTGAGTAAGAATTTTTTGTTTGTTTTTTGAAGGTATACCAATGTGCATGTATTTTAATTGTGTCAGACTGTAGCACAAAGCCTGTTAGCTGGTATAAATCATTGCTCTTACTCTTTCCTTTTTGTTTGTCTGTTTTAGCTACAGATACCATTGGATGAAAACCTTGAAGAATTTTGGATTGATTTCAATGTTGGTAGCAGAAGTATATCTTTCTATGTGGCAGCAGATGATGCAGTAAGCTAATTGTTCTCTGTCCTACAAGGTGTTCTGAGGCAGCAGATAGACATTTTTTCAAGTATATAAAATTTGTGTTCCCACATCGACATGTGGAAATTATGTGTCTATAGTGTGAAGGGGGAAAAATTATCCAGATTTGGCATACTAATTTAAGTAAAAAAAAATTTCAAAGTAATGACTTTTACTAGTGTTTGTGAGCAGTTTAATGTGCACACATGAACAAGAAGCTATTTGCAAAATTCCAGTGACAGTTTTTTTAGATGAGACTCGACTGTTTCAGTTAATGTCTCTATCAAAGCTCTTCTGAAGCATTGTTCATTGTTATCAATTAAACGTGTTCATTTAAAATGTTGACAGTTGTCCTCAATTAATACCTTTCTGATTGCTTTACTTCATTTGATTGTAATGTAATGATATTTGAGTTTTAAAAATATGTATTTTTCTTACAAGGATCATCAGTGGGAAACAGTCATTATACCAGAAGAAGGCGTAGACCTATACAGCCTTGAAGGTATTGGTACTCACAAATGTGACCTTTTATTGCACAATAACTTGTATTTTAAAACTGATTAATCCTAGAGTACTGATTCAATTCTCATCAAAGAAAAATTCCCACTTTAAATATTATACATGCTGTTCTTTTTGAGGATTAAATTGCACTGCAGTCACATTTGCATTTTAGGCATGCAGGTGAGATTTTATGTAAATAATTTTAACATAATGTCTTACAGTTACCTCAATGCAAAATATGACATAGACAATGACATAAGTAATTTTCCTTTTAAACATGTTCAAATAATTTTGTAAATATCTATTATTTGTCTGTGGCTATAGTAAATAACCTTCAAACCACATTCTACAGGATAACACCCAGAATAAGTGTTTCTAAAAGACTGAATCTTTAATTGTTTCACTAATAAAATTTAGCATAGGTTAGAGTGAACTAAATAAATATATATCTTGTATTCTTCCGTTCAGCTAAGCTTAATGTATTTACAAACATATGAGATATTATTAAATTGTAATGAAACTACTTTTCAAATTCTGTTTTTGTCCAGAAAAAGATTCAAAAACATTATTAACAATAGATCTAAAAAGCCCAATGAATGTGGGTAATCAAGAAGGAGAGAAATTTTTTTTATATTTTGATTCTATCTTGGAAATCAGAGATGTAGCCAGAAAGATCTATGGATCTAGTAAACATAAGGTAAGCTTTAAACACCTTTTAAACACGTTTCATGGATTAAAAATTAATGTCTCATTGCTATATAGGTATCGTTATGTCTATTATTATTGGTACCTATTTATATGGAGATATTCTGATTAACATTGCCACTATAAAATAGCATTTCTCCCATAATATGTTAAGCTTGGGTAAAGATATAAAGATGAGAGAAAATGGCCTCAAGTTGTGCCAGGGGAGGTTTAGATTGAGTATTAGGAAATAGTTATTCACTGAAAGGGGTGGTCAGGCCCTGAAACAGGCTGCCCAGGGAAGTGATTGAGCTGTCATCCCTGGAGGTAAAGATGTGTAGTCCTGGCTCTTTAAAGACTTGGCTTAATGGTGGATTTGACAGTGTTAAGTTAGTGATTGGACTCAATTATCTTAAAGGTCTTTTACAACCTAAATGATTCTATGATTCTAAGTTCTAAATTAATTGCAATAAAAATTAACTGTCTGGAAAGGGGTTGCCATAGTTTAATGTCAGCTTTTACATATATATTGTTTAAGAATCACAAGAATTGAATGCTTACAGATACAGAAGTCATTATTCATTAGCTATCCTATTTTGCAGTACACTTACCACTCTTAAGAATTTACTCATTCAGTAAAAAATTACAGCAAGCAATAGCTTACTCCTTACTGCTTGTAGTAAACTGCTTTCCCCTCAACTCTGACTGCAGAAGTTGTAAGAAATGAAACTGCTATGAGCTTGTAGAATCTATTTTCCCTTATAACATGGTTTCAGACACTTAGGATCTCTGACTTAAATATATTCTTTCTGTTTCTTTTTTTAAAAAAGTGAGTAAAATATGTATTTTACATGGATGGTTACTCACTTTGTAGGGCTTTACTAAGAAGCGGTCTGCATCAGTTTCTGAAACAACTGTACATGTTGTCTTTGATGAAAGTGGATCACAGGTATTTGACTTCAGTATGCTGAGATGGGTATTTTCTTTTATTATGTATTTAGCCAGATTATTAACTAATTTAACCACATTCACCATAAAACAAGCTCGTTTCAAATTCCAGGAGGTAAAGATAACTCTAAAAGCAGTTAAGTGATTTCTAATAAGAATGTGTTGTTTATCTGGGGAGATAATAATGTTAATATCCAAACCACAGAATAGTTCAGACAGATAAACACCATGGAAGTTCTTTTATGTGAATTTTGATTTGGTAACCCATCCTTATTAGTGAAAGTAGCAATTAGGTTCAATGCTGTAAAGCTGTATAACCTCTGAAGTTTATAAAACTCTGCAGTGAGAAATGTGTTACTTAGTGTTAAGAGGTTGCTCTCTGTGTGTTTGTACATAAAATACAAAACATAAATACTTCAAAAATACCAAATATTGTATAGGTTCTGGTACCAGAAAGTCAGTTGTCACCACGTTTGGAAGCAAAATCTAAAGAAGAGGAGAAACTCAGTAAGTGTGAAGCCCAGCAACTTCCTGGAACTTCGATGACTCTGGATAAAAATAACAATCAAGAAAAATGCAGAGATAGTTCCTCCAAGGTAAGTAAAGTGTCAAAGGTTCTTGGAAATAGATTTTCTGAAATCTTGTGTTGTTATCCTTAAATCTCTGCATTATGGTCAATTTTTTTTCTGTTCCTGAAGTCAACTACATCTTGTAAAAGGAAAGTATCTGAAGCATCTGTGCTTATTCCTGCAATGACAAGATTTTCCACAAGGAGTCCACTGGTATTTGTTAGCACAGGTAGGTTTACATGTACTTTCAGGGAAAAATATGCTATAAATCATCTTTGAAATACAATAAAGTATCCTTTACAGAGCTGGAAGTTAACAGTAAGCCTTATAAAATCTCTCTAGCAGGTGCTTTAAGGTTAAAATTTTTAAACTAGGCCACTTGCTACTGCTCCAAGATGTATTCCAAACAGCTGACGGCCACCTATGAATTTTACTGCTGCTGTCAGTCAGCCATTTCTGCTGGAGCTAGTTCAGAAGTCAGCAGTCAGAGGCCATCATGCATAGGTGTTCTTTTATCTTGCTCTTCGTATGCTCTTGGTTTAAAGAACTCTCAGCAGTTAGTGCTTTTATAGCAGTTGTGGTGGAAAGTCAGCTTTCTCCAATGTGTGCATTTATCACTTCGTTTTATTCCAGAAACCGCATGTGATTCTTCGAGGGGTGGCTGATGATATGGCTAGTGAGCAGGGTGGGATCCAGTGCTAGTGCTGCTTATATCAAAGTGCTTCTTGCAGAGAAGAGGATAAGGAAGAGTTGTTATCACAAATAGGAGTCGTCACTTTCCTACTAGTAGTCTTAGTGTAACAGAGATGTTTAATACTTTCTTCAGGGGAGAGACAAAGACCAGTAGAGGCCGGAGATGCAACTAGTGGCATAACAGCATGACTAACAGACTGCCTTTAACTGGCTCAAGTGTAGCAGCATCCTTAGTTGTGTACATCCATGTGTCATATACAAATTATGAGTAACAGAGGCTAGAAAAAAAAGCCTTTTCAGATTAGGATGGAACAAGGCAAAGAGCTTCTTTATTTGGAACTAACAACGCAATCTATTCCAGCAAAAATATATTACAGTGAAGTCTTTAAACAGGGGACCAACTGCTTTCTGCCGGGGTCAGGCTGTAAAAAGTATTGTTTGTCTTCAGACATCCACAGGCTATGGGCTTATTAAACTCCATGTAAATAATTGAAATCAGTAGAATTCTAGAAGGAACCTAATGAGTTTAAATAAATGCTAGCCATCCTAAAAAAGTTTATAGAATACATGTGATCACAGGGAAGACTCTGTATACTGGTGTCACAGACATGACAGCAATCATAACAGAAGAAACAGTAGAATTCTAACCTGTCTCTGGTTTGTTTTCAGCCACTCCTTATAAAGGACGATTTAAATTACCTTTGGAAATGATGAGCTCTGTTGAAAGGCCTAACAATAATGAAATAAATGAGACCAAAACAAAGAATTTACATCAGGAACCTACTGGAGTATGCATGTCATCTGTAGCTAAGTTTTTTGCTTAGAATAACATTTCTATTTTATTTTTTTCCTAGTTATTGTAAAGAGCTAGAGATTTGCACTCAGCAACTTACTTTTAGAAAATAATGTGATTTATTTTATTGCATAATGTTTTCTCATCCTCTGGATTTCAGGTTTAATATGTCTAAAGTCATACTGAACAGTTAAAATTTGCATTCAGTCATCATTTCTGACCCCAGACCTAAGTTGCATTTACTAGAACCACAAATCTTACTTTGTGTGTAATACAAGAATGGTGTATGCCTGGAATCTCAGATTAATTAAGCAGTGTTGAAATACTCTTAAAAACAGTTGTAGCTGTAAAATGTTAGTATCTTCAGGTTGTAGCATTTATAGCATTGTTTTTAGTGCATTTGTAATTAGGCATTCAGTAAAATCAAACAAAATTGCGTAGGTGTATTTTTGCTTCTGTTCCAGTTGAACAAAAGCTTCAAAGTAACAATTTTATTGTTTTAAAGGTCTTTCTGGATCAGATTCAGGTCAAATCCCAGACAATGTGATTCTGAAACATTTTTTGATATGCCTATCCTTTAGATAAAAGCTTTAACATATAGAAGGCGTAGTTTAGAATATTTCAAATCGTACTTTCTAGGAGAATTTTATTTCTTTTGCTTCTGTGGATAGTAATTGTCAGTGTTACTTATTGTACTTTTTAGAGTAGGCAAACCTGTGCACTAGACAACGAATTTTGTGAAACAGAACAGAAGATCAGGAAGACAAATACTGGAACTGGGGCAAAACTATGTGAAAAGGTACTGGGAAAAAGCACTTCTCTGAAATGAAAAAATAAAGGCATATTTTGTTAGGGAAAGCACAAGTTTACAAGGTTATGCTGTTCATGGACCTGCGCTAACATTTTCTTTTGGATATTATCCAACTGCAGCGAATGTGTGCTGAGGAAGTCTTAGACATGGTACAAGAGCTAGAAATTGAGGTCACACAAAAGCAGACTTTAGGCAAGTAGTTTTAGAAGTGTTTGTAGTCCTTACTTTTAATATTATTTTATTTTTTTCAATTTATCTTGTGATAGTAATTGATACAAAATGAATGTCTCCTATAGATGAAGCATTAGATATTGTTCCTGATTCTCAGCCAGCAGGAAGAAGCAACAAGCCTGTGTAAGTACTGGAAAAGAGTTGCCACTCTTGTCACTCACTTTGAAGGGAGTATTTTCAAGTATTGCCAGAATTGAAATTTCCTCTATTTTCCTGTTTTTGTGATGCATGTTCATTATAATTAAGACTCACTTTCTACAATTCACTGATAGTAAGATGGTCTTCTCTTTATTAGGCTATCTGATATTTTGGAGAGTTCTTTGGATAAAAGCAAAACATGGAAGAAAAGAGCATGCTCAGTTCCTGAGAAGAATATAACAATTGGTGACAGGCAAAAGCTAAATCCACCATTGGCCCGTTCATCCCATTCAGGTTATGTTCACACTTTGTTAATGTCAAAAATGTTCAAGATGAGTTTTTAATGTACAGCTATGCTTTCTTCCTGTGTGAGTTTCTATTGTCAGTGAAAGGGCTGTGAAACAAAAAGCATTTATTCAATTTTTTTAAAGTCTCTCTTCAGATAAAGAAATTAAAAAGGACAAGAAAGCCAGTATAATTAAATTGATACCATGAGGGAATAAAACTGCATGATACTTAGTAGACAATCAGATTGTTAATAACTTTAAACAGAAATTGTGAAGTACAGAAGAGAAAACATTTAAACTACTACATAATTTAAAACATTTCTTTCAGGTAGAGCATCTGAAATGTCTCTGCATTTGGGTTTTGCAAAAGAGGAACCTGATGTTCTCTTTAGAAAAGATGCTGCAAACCCAAGCCAGTCAAAAACCGTGAGAGTTTCTTACCTTTGTTTCTTTGAATTGCAGTTCAGAGAACTGTCAAATTTTCAGTCTTTCAAAATTTGTCTTTTAGATTCATTTAGTCACCAACTTATTTTTAATTGAATTTCCACGAAGGCGAAGTGAATTAAATAATGGTAGCTTCACTGTTTACTTTTTCGGTGGGATCTGTTTTAGATTACTTTACTCTGAATCCATTTTGAAAAATCCTATTTTAAAAAAATGATAATTCTTAAACGAGCACCAGCTTGTGCTTTTCATGCACTTACTCACTTTTGCATGTCATATTACAGAAAGCCACATTATTATAAGAAAAGACCTGCCAAACTGATGTTTTATTGCTCACTGTTTGGGCAATGCAAGGGAAAATGGTTTTCAAAGGAATGTGATTTAGTACATCTAGAAGGCGTTTAATGATTGTGATTGTTGCGAGCCTGTAGTTCTGTTTGCAGCTTTGCCTTTTTGTTGAATGGGTTTGAAATGGAGTGTTAAACTATTTTTATAGAAAACAAAGTCTAAAGAAGTGACAGATGCAACAAAATCACTAATTAGTAAAATCAGTGACAGATATACAGTCAAGACTGATGATACAAGCAAAGCAAGAAACTCCTTGGGTTTTAACAGGTAGGATGTGAACTATTTGCTTTCGTGCGTATTCTTACTGTGCATGTGGATTTGTCTGTGATCTAGTCCTCTGTTTACAATTAATCCACATCCAGCTTTCATCTGAATTGTTTGCTCAGTTCTGATAAATCCTGTTGCACCCAAAGAGTAGAGACTAGTAGTCAAACAATTCCAGTGGTTGAAATGACTACCAAGGTTGTTAAAATCTCTTCAGTGGTCTTTCACTCATTCACTCACATGTTTTGTGGAGAGAAGTAAACTGCGGTAGTTCACGGACACTGCACGTGTGGGGTATCCTACCATCGTAGCTTGGGGGTCAAACTTGGATAAAGTTATCAACTTTCTGATTATCTAAAGTTCCTGGCTCTCTTTCTCAGAGAGTTGACTGGTTAGAGAGGTGAAATTTAACAAATTCTTAAATAAGAAAATCAGTCTTACCTTGCTGGTACTGATGACTGGACATACGCTTTAGATATAATTACACACTTTCTGAGATGGATTGTCACTGGATGACAAAGGACTGGAATAGTTATGTTATGTCACCTTTTAAACCTTTTGTACTGGGACTTGGAATACAAGCAGAACCTGCAGTATAGATGTATGATCTGGAATTAATTATTTTAGAATACAAAAATAAAAGGGGCTAATCTCTTTTAATCCACTTTTTATTTGTGTTTAACTGCCTGAATTAAATGTATTGTGTTTGATAAGGCTTGTATTTATATAAGCAGTATTCTAATACACATATTCTAATTAGCATTTAATAAAATGTTTCCTTTCTTTCTTAGGCCACACTCAAAGAAATCCTGTGTCTCTAAGGTAATGTAATACTGCTTTTGTTGGAAATTTTTTTTCATATCAGATATATGTACATAGATGGTGTTTACTAGTAGATACAAAATGCAAGTTAACAAATATTGATCAATGTTATATATCTGTAGATGTTAATGTTAATTATGCATTGACATTATATTCTTAAAATACTTGTTATATATCTACTTCTGATTAATAATATTTTTACAGCCATCAGCCAGTGAAACCCAAATTACTTTCTGTTTCCGTATTACATAATTGAAACTGTTCCTTTTGAACATGGCAATGCTAAATATTTAGAATAAAAATATATAGTAAATGAGATTATAGAATCCTTGAATGGCAAATATACAGGACAGATAAATTACTCGTAATGTTTTTTGGGAAAAAAAATTTCTGAGGTTTTATTGATGTCCTTAAAGGATAAATTCTAGAGATTTGGTTTATACTAGCTCTTGTCCCCTTTTGCGGTATTGAACTTTTGCAAATAAGTGGAAGTTTAAGCAGCTGCTAGATTTTTTCATATGTTTATCATGAGATGACAGGTTGCATGAATGGCTAGTCCAAATGTGACATAACATTTCATTTATGTATAGGAAGTTCAGGATAGAAAACTGAGAACCAGTTCTGTTCTTAATATAACTGCTGGTCATACTATGTAAGTAGCTAAAACATTTTCAAGCAGAATTTCTAATTACCCATACCTAACTTTGCAAAATGTTCATTAATTCAGTCACAAAATTGATCCGTGTGTTTTTTTCACAGGGATGATGTCTACAACTTTACCATCAGTGGGTTTGATGAGCCTACCATAAAGCTTGGGGTAAGAATAGAACTGGAACTGGTATGTTATGAATAGAATATAAAGAAGCTCAGTCAACTTAAATTATGTCTACCCAAAGTATAGTTAGCATCTAAAAATTCAAATAATATCACTGAACTAAGTGGAGAAAAAAGTTTGCCATGGAAATACCACCATCACTTTCCAATGTATAATGGCAGATGCTGTCCTAAGCTTTTGGCCACTTAAATGATGACATTTTTCTGAATTAAGAATAAAAAGTTTATTAGAAGTATAACTATTTTTAATTCAGCCTATTATCCTGAAAGTGTTATTGCCATCCTTTCAATCCCGACTGTAAAGACATCCTTTCCCAGATGTTGGAGTAAAAAGAAAATCTAGCTAAGTTAAAAGCAGATGACAAAAAATAGTTTTGCTTCTTATGGCTCAGAGGAGCCTGCTGGATTGGGGTAGGTAGTGAAGCAAGTGGTTGGAAACTAACGTATTAGTTGGAGATACTGAAAACTTCCATCAGATCCAGCTCCGTTCTTAAATGATTTGTAAGATAGAAGTTTATTGTTGTAAGTTTATTGCTAAGTATAAAAGCCAAGCAAAAAGCTCTGTTACCATCTGATGGCCTGTTTAATTTTGTTGAAATTGTGTAACAAATGAAAACCTTAATTTGTTACTTACTTCTATATTTAGATCAAGGAATTGCATGTCACTGAACTGAGTGTTCATACAGATTCAAACAAAAAAAGGTAGGGACCTTTTATTGTGTCCTGATCTCCTGATTATCATCAAGAATAGTGCTGTCTGCATTCTCCAGCATTCCATCCAGGAAAATCCAGGAAATGTGTACTTAGCAATAATATCTTGACTATGTTGTGTTTTCAGGCACTGAACATAGCTGCTATGGTCTCCTAGGCTGTTTCATTATTTTCCTTTGGGAGGCTGATAAATAGCAAAGAATGTATTTCATTAATTAAATTAATTAAAAACTTAAATAAGTTCTCTTCATGGAATACCTTGGGGATATAAACTGAGTAGAGAGGGGTCCAAATAACACATCCTTTAGTGTTTAAGGTGAGTAGGTATTTCCAAAATGGATATGAGAACATAAGTAGGTACATTTGTTTGAATCTTTAATCCATATAGCATGTGACTAGTAGAATGATGTGAGCAAGTATTTCTAAATGTATCATTTAAAGGTATTTTTTCTTTTTCTATTTAAGGAATGCAGATAATAGTAAAACTATCACTGAGGTGAATGGAAGACAAAAAGTAAGGCTCAGATTTTTGTGGATCAGTATACCCTGTCTTCTGCCTTAATGCCAATTATATAAGTGAAAGTTATGAATCAATAACTTAAGAAGTTTTTTGTCTTTTTGTAGACTAGAAACAATAAAAACAGGAAACATCTCTTTAGTGACACAGACACAGAATACAGAGGTGATGGCAGCAAGACAGACATTAGTTGGCTACAAGAATCAAATAGAAAATCTAAAGCCCAGTTAATTGATTACAGTAGAAATAAAAACTCAAGGAAACTGATAATCACAGACAAAAGTAAGAATTTTTTGTCATATTTCTTAAGCATAATGCATTGGTTTTTTTCATAGATATTTACTGTGTGGCACATAATCTGCAGCGTTGCAGATTTAATGTGTTTTGTTGTCTTGTTTCCAAGCGTAAGGAATTTCCAAATTAGTAAGTTTGTGGGTATTCAACTAAATATCTAAACGTCAAACACTTGAATAGTTTGCTGATTTTCCTGACTTTATGTATTGTAGCAGCAGATAAACTCTCTGAACCTGCTGGCCACCTGGATAAACCTAAAGGCAAAAAGGCAAATAAGAAAAAGGTAAATGTAAATTTGCGACTAGATTTGTAGTTTGTATTAAAAATATCTTAACTCGCTACAGAAACTGTTTGTAAATAATTTTTCGTAGAATTTGTCATTTCTCCATGCTTAGTTCAACATAATTTGCTAAATACAGTTATGTAGGATTTTGTTTTGCTCTATTTCAAACCATTTACAGTCTAATTTAAATGTGCACATATTTCAGAGAGCAAGCTCTGGAAATCCTCTTTGGTTTTGCTGTTGTTCACAATTGGCAGTTATTTTACCTCTTCACTTTTTTACCCTTACATTCCTGACACTATTCTCTCACTACAGTGAAAATTTTTTTCCCCGAATTCTTAGTAGACTGATGGTTGGATTCTCTGAGCTTTAGTTAAGTTAAACTTTTTAAGTTGTTTTGAAAAATGGATTTCAAGTAATTAAGCTGTTACGTGGCTTTTATTCTTACATATTTATTACTCATTCTTACATGTACTGAAAATGTTTTTATTATTCCAAAGATTAAAAAATGTGAAAAACAGAATTCCAGAACTGATGAAACGATTGAGCCAACCACCAGAAAAAGACTGCCTCGGAGAGCAGCACCTGCAAAAAATTACAAAGAGCTTTCCAGTTCTGAGTCAGAGAGTGAAAGGAAATCTTCACCATGCACTTCTAAGGAAGAGAAATCAAAAATACAGGTATGCAGTTGCACTATTTTGAAAATATATATGAAATAGGAGATTTCACTGAGCTACATTTTGTTGTTTTAAATAATGCGGTTTTGAGAATACTGTGCCTATTGTGTGTACAGTAGGAAAACAATGACTTGACAAAGGGTATTGTCAGTACATTTGCTGAATATCCACATAGGATTATTAGTAAACTAAGCAATGTTGTTGGGTGCTACAACATTTTCATTCTTTTAGCATTTCAGTGTATATGGGTAGGTCTGTAAAACTCATTGCCTGCAATAGCTAAAAACTTTATAAGAATGGAGATTTGGGTGCTAAATTAAACGAAGTTCAGTGCTTATTGATAATAGAACACTTGATGTTGTTATGGATTTAAGTATTTCTAACCATGTTCCTTTTTGGACCTTCTGTTTGTTCAGTGCTCTTTACTTGCCTATATATACACTTCTGTATGTTTACAAATAATGCTTATGTTTCTAATAAAATACAGAGCTTATATATGAGTGGGGAAAACAAGAATGATAATCAGCCAAAGCAACTCCAGAATACTATATCTGTGGAGCCAAAGAGAATAGCTAACTATATACATAAATTATCTATTAAATCAAAGAACTCTGCAGAAGAGAAGGAAATTGAAATGCCTTCACCTGAGAGTCCTGCATCTCCTGAGATGATGAGATGTAGGTATTTTGACTTTTAATTTATGGCAATACTGTGTCAACACTTGGAGGTTAAATTGGGATTATTACAGTACTACAATTTCATAAATATTTCATACTTTTAAAGGAAGAAAGATCCCCTAATTCAGTGTGTACCACATAATTTAAGGAAGTGTATTGATATGTCACCAACACTCTTATAATTTAGTACAGTTAATTGACATAAGCATAATATCTAAGTGCAATAGAGAAGTGTTAGAATGAATCTGGTAACCACTGAAATGGTGCTGAGACTGCAAGTGTGATGAGTCAAATGCCAAGAAGTAAAAACCCACACATCTGAGACTTTCAAATATCTAGTGTTGGAACAGGTAGCAAAATGGGGCTTTAACTTACCTTTCTTTCCTTTTATTCCTCATGCTGAAAGTTAAGGACCTGTTTTGTAGGTGCTGAAAGAATGTCCGGAGAAGCTATTACTGAAGAACATGCTTCTAGCGAAACATCAGCTGGTCTGCAGGAGTCAACACTAGAAAAAGGAGAAATGTTAAACTTTGAGAATGGAATCTCTCCCAATAATTTCTGTCCACAAGAAAAGATTATTCAAACTACATGTCTGGATCAGACCTCTGAGACAACTATTAAAAAATTAACCTTTGGAAATAAAAGTTTCTCCCCGGTTTTAACTGAAGCATCTTTGGTAAGAATATTGAAGTTAGTCTACAGCTACTTTAACTGAAATTATTCCATTCAGCTGCCAACAGTTCTATGCTTTGGTTCATTTCCTTTCAATAACAATTTTTTCTGTGTAGCTCAGGTTATCAACATACCAAACTGTCAGTGGAAAACACACAAAAGGAGCTGCATCTGAAACATGTGATAATAAAGAAGATTCAAGTTTCAGACATTGCTTTTCAGAAACACTTGCTATTAAAGGAAAACTACAGGATGTCACTAAACACATTACCAAAAGTAAAGAAGAGGTATGTCACTGAATCCTTTGCTCTTCAGAAGAGAGTTGCAGCTTTTTGTCTAAATTATCTACTTTACTGAAGATGAGGTTTAATGCATTTATTTTTTTTTCTTTCTGTAGTTGTGTTCATGTCCCTATTTTAATGAAAAGCAAAATAAATGTGGATTTCTGATTAAGACTTCTAAAAACTTTACTTTTTGAAGATAATAAATCAGTGACTTTTCTTTTAGGACTGTCTACCACCATCTCCATTTTCTGCTTCCAGTGGAAGTAAAGCACAGTCTTCGAGTGAAGAACCTTATGTGCCCTCCATACATGAGTCAGGTACAAATACTGAATTTTAAGCAAAAGACTTTCTATGTTTCTCCGTAAAGGTTAAGAAAAATGCTTGTTTTGCATAGACATTTGACCCAAGTATTTAATCTTTCAATTATTTTCTCTATTTTTCAGTATTATTCCATTTTTATTCTCTTCCTCATTTTCTGTGCTGTTTTAATTACCCCCAAAAAAACCTAAAAATATGGCTTAAAAATGCAGTTCCTCTAAAAAGTGAGTTGCACCCTTAAGAAGGAGTTGGAAGCATTCTTACTGATAGTGGGAAGAAAAAGTGGGGATAATAGTTTTATCAGGAAAAGAGGTCTTAGAGTGAATCTCTTAAATGAGCAAGTCTTGTATGGATCAAGGAGTTCTGTGTTCCTCTGAAATTCTGGTTTTGATTCACATCAAGTTCTCATATCTACTGAACATGCCCTCCATAAATGTAGTGCTTGTTAACTCTTAGCTCTTGAGGTTTAAAATCATGACACATAGAGTTTGGATCCAGAGGGTCAATAAGCTCTTCTTTATCCTTCTATGTTTCTGTTCTAAATGATCCTAAAATTAAGCATAATTTTGGTGTTTATTGAAGGACCGATTATACAGATGTTTTTCAAACGAAGGTACCCCAGTGATACAGAAAGCAATTCTGATGAAGTAGAAACAAGGAAAGAAGAGGAAAAGAAAGGAAAAAGGAGAACAAAGTTACAGCCCAAAAAATTATTTAAAACAGATGATGCTGTTACTCACAGAGGTTAGTTACAGAGTGAATGTTTACTATAGTTGTGCAAGAGTTAAAAATAATGTGAGAAATCGAAGTTGTAACAAGAAAAGATAATATCCATTAAAATAATTTTTATATATTTAAAAAAAAAAATTCTAGATATTGAAAGACTGTATCCATTTTAAAAGTTTGAAATTTTTTATGAGACTAGAAACTGGTCTCAGCCATCTATTGGTGAAATTAATGTATAGGTAACTAAGGCTATTCTAGGTCCTGTTGTAACTTCAGACAGGATACTTTTTAATACTTAATTGTGACATTATCTTTTTAATTCTTCTCAGTGTCTGAAAGCACGTCTCATGCGTCTGTAAATGATCTGACTGGTTTGGATGAGGAAATCTCGGAACCTGGTTGTTCAACTCTCAGTATATGTCAGAAGCTCCAAAAGGAATTTACTAAGAAAATTGAGGCAAGATGTTTCATATACGATATTAGTTGTCTGTGTGGGTGTGTGGGCATATGAGTGATAGCTTATCTTACACCACAGAATTTGCTTAAAAGGGCACGTAAACAGCTATGTGCATAGAACTTCAATAAATGACAGAATTGATGTTTCCTTTTATGCTTTTTTCAATTTCTTTATATATCTAACTCTCTAAAGATTTTATTTTTCAGGTCTTTATTTTTATCCGATCTGTTGTCTCGAAACAAGGTTATGTGTCTAAACATACAAGCCTGCTGCATTTGGATTTTTTTTCAAATTATCATACCTGTGAATTAAATTTATTTGCAAAAAGGAAAACATGGGCCTGGATAATGTATTTTTTCATCTAAGACAGCTATAAGCAGACATTCCATGTGTACTTTCTCTATTTTGAGGAAATGCGGATTTTGAATAATTCTAAGTAAATTAGGTAGAGCTTATAAAAAACATAACCACAGGCCTATTTATGTTTCATTAACAAAAGGCTTTTCCTTAAAGAGTGAGACAATGAAAAAAACTAAAAAAATATTTTGCTCAATATGATCTGTGATACTAGTCAATTACAGCACTAAACATACAGGTTTTTTTCTTAAAGTGAAAGTAATCTGAATTTAATACTAAAACATCCTCATAGAGCCGCTCACGGAAAATGGATCATTTTTCTAAGCAATCAGTAAGAGCTGCCCACGAGCATTTGATAAAAATGAGTTACCAGCTTCGTGAATGCAGGTTCGTAACAAAAGATTTATTTTAAAACACTCTGAGAATGGAATGAATACTAGTTAAAAGTAACTACTTTTGTTTTGGTAGGATCAGGCAGCTGGACAAATTTCATTTTACTCTCCTTGAGGAAATTGAGAACTTCGAAAAAGATTCTCAGTCCCTGAAAAACATGGAAAAAGAGTTCTTGGTTTGTATTTTAATGGCTTGTTCATGACAAATTCTTACAGGATCCATAGTTTATTAATGTCATCTTTAAATTTAGATCATTGATTCTGTTTTTAAAAGCCTTTATAATTTTGCTTAACGCTGGTTCAGATTTCAAGTAATGAATTTGAAGTGTCAGGATTGGCTAATGTTATGCTCTTAACATTTCTAGATCACCACTATATGTTTTCCTTAGAATAAGCTACTGCATTTACTTTTAATGGGCACTTTCCCTCACTTCATGAGCCTTTTTCAGCTGTGTTTCAGGAACAGCAGGTAGGCATTTGAGCCTGTGTGTTCCATGACAAACCAATGGACATTATGGGTCTACTACTTTCTGCAATGTAAAAATCAATATACAAGTATTCATATAAACACAAGACTATATTCACTTCTTTCTTTTACTATGAAGGCATAGTTTACATTATATGAAAAGTCTGATTAAAACTCTCTGCATATTTTTTTTCATTGTTTTGAAACAGTTCTGTAGAACAAACTTTTTGTGAAATTGATTCTATGAAAATAGAATTCCTGAAGTGCCGCCTCCTGCCAACTAAGCTTACTACTAAGTTCTTTTTTGTTGTTTTTTTTTCTTTTCAAGCTTCTGTGGTGACTGTGTAACCCCTGCCCCTTCTGTGCTCAGTCTGTGGTTGTTGGTTATTTTATTCATATTAAATAGCAGTTTTATTAAAAAAATACTAGTTCCTACTGTTTATTATCTATTCATGTTTTTATTTCCAGGTCTTTTGGAAAAAACATACACATACTTTTAGTACATACATGAAAAATGAGCAGCAGAGGTTAGTAGACTTCATTAATCCCAGGTGGAGATTGATGTTCTGTTCATTTGAGGTGCAAGTGAGGCCAGCTACTATTCTCTCTGCAATTCCTTGCTTTCGTAAAGCCGAGGTAGTAGATAATAGGAGAGGATGAGATTTAAATGTTAGGTTACAGGATACATGTAACTATTCTCCATCTGAATATCTTCACTTACCTGCTGGACTATTCCAGTAGTAACAGTGCTGGTAATGTTTATCCATGCTTTCAAGTGCAGGTAGGCTACCAATAATGGGATGTATTCAAAATGCGTGTGGAACATTCATCTGTAGCGAATCTAATTGAAATCTTCTTATTTCTTTAGAATTCAGATTCTTAAAACTTCATATGAAAAGAACATCTATCATACTGTTGACTATGAAGAAAATATTTTTACGTCAGAGGTATGATGAAATTTTTTCATTCTTTCTTGTTTTTAATAATTTTTACTCTTTTTTTTTTTTCCAAAGGAGGTCTTCATCCTCACCATTGTATGAATGCCACATAAGTATTTTTATACTTCTTTATTGTTATAAAATATCCTTTAATGTAAATGTTCAGTGTTTTAGTGCTAGATTTCACTCATAAGAAGGTGTGTGCAGTTATCTGGAAAAATGTGAGATTTTTTTCTGTATTCCTTGGCTTTGTTTACCAGTGTTAATCATCCAAGGAAGAACAAATTTTAACAGATCCTTTTCCCTAGGCAGATGGATGCATGTGCATCTGTGTTGCTCACTGTTAAACCATTTAGGGGTGTAATTGTCTTCTTGAAAATGGGTTACAAGTTGTGATTGGAGAAGATGCATTCAGTATCTTTTTATAGATGCGTCTGATGAAAGAAGACTTAAAAGGACTCCAAGAGAAACTTCTTAAAGAGATGGTAAACTAAGTTATATCTTGTCCTCATTTTTATTGTTTAAGTATAGCTGTTTGAACACTAAATTACTAGAAATGCTAATTTCTAGTCCCCTACCGAAAATAAATGTGTCAGAATTCAGGTATCACTAACAGGTTATACTTTAAACCTGGGTGATAAAAGCTGCAAGTAACTTCAGATATACTGTTTGAGTTCTGAGTCATAATATGATGAATGTTGATGTGGAAAAGATTGCAGTACTTAAAACCCAGAAATATTTTATTTCAAGTATGTGATAAAAGTAATGCTCTTTGCACAGCAAGAAGAGGAGCTGGGTAATGTTCGCAGAGGACTGCAGGCCTTGTTCAATCAGAAGACAGAATTCTGAAGTGATATTTTCAGATACCTTCCTGACATTGAAGGTGAATATAAATACACTTTTATAATGTAAAATTTGGCAACTTTCTTTTTTTTCCCGTCAAGGAAATTGTTAAATTGAAAGTTTATTTTCTCTAAAAATAGTAAAATCTCTGTGAATAAGACTTCTTTTCTATGTGAGATTTGGAACTATTTTACTGAATCTGCTAAAATGTAACATGTAAATTTTTGGAATTTTAGCACATGCTATTTTTTAAGCAGTCTTTAACTATTTTTATAGTTTATTTAAATGAATTTCAGAGAAATTACTTCAGATTTCACTTGAAATCTATGTTTTGTGTACAGAATACCCCTTTTGTCTGATCCAGAATGCAATCAGAAATTATTTAGGATTCAAATTGCCTGTTTAGATTGCAGTCTTGTCTGTGCTGTTAGACTTCTGCAGGAGGTTCTAAGAGATAACAAAACTCTAAACACTTGTGGTTGAACTATGTTGCAAGTATTTGTATTAAAAATTTCAAGAAAAAGAAATAGTCTGGTTTGTTTTTTTTTACAAAATGATGTCATTACTATTTTGCTTTAAACCAGTAATACATATTTGCATGTCAGTTAAAATCTACTGCTGTGCAAATATTTCTTGTATGACAGAGGACAGCAGGGGGTCTCTCTGTACCTCAGAAACACAAGCTCTACATACTTAATACGATCTGTTCCATATGCTTAGGTTTCAGAAGATTTCCTAAGAAAACTATCAGTGAGTCATGATTTGCACTTCTCTTTTGTTGCCATGTATCAACTACAAGGTTTATTCTGAATACATATAATATGCAACATCTAAGCTAGTATTTGTTTATTTGCTTTAAATTAAAAAAAAACTACCTTGCATTTTATAGTTCCTTAGCAGCCTTTAAATTTTATCTTTCTGCATATATATACTATAAACTTGCTCAGAACAATACCTGTAATATTTTTCATTTAAGTTCTCTTTAAAAATAGGGATGAAAAACTTAAAGCTGATCAAGTAAGGGATTCAGAGAAGAACTCGTAGAACAGGTGTGTCTTGGAGCCTGTCTACATTACCACAGGCAGAGCTGCCTCTGTGCCATGAAACTGGCTCCAGGTTACCACTCCCAGCAGCCCAGAAGCTGGAGTTCACCCAGCACTGCAATGACACAGCTCCACAGCTTTGGAGCCAGGCTGAAGGGAGAATATGCTTGTCTGTAGCTGATGTTATGACCTAGGGCTCTCAAATAATATATTAGTCAATATATAATTAAAACAGCTCTTCACAAATTAATTGCTTCATAACTGCATTTTGTCCTTTGGTTTTCTTTAACATCATACTTTGACACTTCTTCCATTATCCCCTCTACCCTTTTTCAAATCAGAAATGGCTGTAATATATTTCTATCCAATGCACGCTGCGTAGAAGGCACAGTAAGAGGTGTTCTTTCATCTCATAGGTTTGTTGTAAACAGAAATAGTTGTAAATTGAAATATATTTCATATTAATTAATTTTAAAAACACAAGGCTGTATTGTCACTGGAAATTATTTACTGGCAATTTCCGTATAATAATTTGGTCTACTCACCCCATCTACATAAGTGTATTCAATGCTTTTCTAATTTTTGAGCCTGATTTTTGTGGGTTTGTTTCTTTAGCCTGTGATCACTGCTGTATCCACTAGATGGACCTCAAAGATTTTGGTTGGTTTGGTTTTTATTGCTCTTAATTGAATTTTATCTGTATATAAACCACTGTTTTTCTGTTAACCATACAAATCTTTTCAAAGTGCACTCCAAATTATTTTCTTACTGTGAGTACATATGGATAAAATGATACAAATGCTATTTTTAGTGAGGACTCAAGATAAATAGAATAGTGAAGTTTTACTCTCCACCTGTCACCCTTTTTCCCACCTCATTAACTTCTAAAAACTTTCAGTAGGTGTAAACATGTAAAATTGTGAAACATCACAAGGAGTTTTCAGAAAGGGATAGGGAGATGCTGCTTTTTGATTTTTGTTTCATTTTATTTTGTGGATGGGAAACCCCACTGGTCATTTAAAGCAGACACCTAAATTAAGATATAGGAATTGTGAACTCCAGGCCTGTTCCTTTTTTCCATTGGGAAGATGCAGAACAAGGAGAATACCCCCCTGAGTAAAACCAGCCTTCAGAGGATGCTGTTCTGAGTTTCCCCCAGTAACCGAGCACCAGTGGGTTCAGGCAGTCTCCAAACAACTGGATGGACTTGCCCACCACTAAGCTGACAGTAGTTAGCTGCCAGTGATCATGTGTGGCTCTGATGTAGTCAAAACTTTGTTTCCTGCCAGATCCAAGCAGAAGAAAGGCTGGGATACTTGTAATGGAAGGACAGCCAAAAATGTGGGGGAGAAAAGATGCATTTTGCTGCATGACTACAAGATGGTTAAGTCACATTAGTAATACAGCTCATAGGCATTGTTGAAATTTTAAAAGCTGCTGTATGTTCCCCTTAAGATATTTTTTGTTTATTATATTTTTCCACGTAATTTTATTGTGTTTTATACATTTTTATAATCAGTCAAAATATCAATTGCTGCTGAATAGGAGTATAACTTTCATGGATCTTCTGCTGAAGAAACTTTTCTGTTTAATCTTTTATACTACACCTGAACTATCATTTGTTGTTGTTTAGAATTAATTGTATTTTATTATTAATAAAATTAAGATGATTGATAAATATAACTAATGGTATGTTAGAAGGCTAGTTATAATGTTACATATTTCTGTGAAAAGCCATGAAGTTATAAAATTTCAATAAATAAATAAAAAAATAAATACTCGGATCAAGTAACCTGGGTAATTCAAGTCTTCAGCTGATAGTCAGGTAAGTCAAACATCAAAAAGTTGTACAAAATTACAGCTGGCTACAGCAGAGTAAGTCCTGGGTACCACATCTCCCACAATCTTTTAGCTTGTCCCTTATTGACATGTATTTTAAATTTTGCACTGTTACGTTCTTACCTTCCATTCTTAAATGGTAGTTTATCTAAAGAATAGCACTGTATTTGTTACTTTATCCCCATGCTGAGAAGCAGAAAGGAGTTGAAAATTAGTTTCCACTGCTTGCATTGATTCTGTTCACCATCTTGCAGCAATTTAGCTGCAGTCTATACAAACAGTTTTACGTACCTTGTTTACTTTATTATTTTCATGCTCCATGGAGATCATCACAACAAAGGTACAAAGGCCAGCAGTGCCTCTTTCAAATTTTCAGTATTGAAACTTCCTAAAAGGGTAGTATTTGAGACTCTTGCTGAGAAATTTTTGTCTTGTGAGTGCATGTGCCATTTTGTTGCTGTCTGGGCAGGCATGTTTTCCAGTTGTATTTTTTTTCTAAGTTTTTTTCCTTTTAGTAGAATTTTGAGTAGAACTCGACTCTTCTAGATGTCAAACATTATTAGAATGTCTGGCTTCACCTTTTTTCTCAAACAGTTCTATTTGTTTTGTTATTAAGTAACTTTTTTCCTCTTACTGTGAGAGTATTAGAAGGTTTGCTAAATACCAAAGTACATTGTTACATTTCTATCTATGGTTGTCTAATTTAGTAATTTTGAATGGGAATAACAGTGAAATTAATCAGCATTCTTTCGAGGGCCAGGACCTCAACTAGTGAAGAATGTTGTATGTTGTTTAGGATCTTGTCCAAAACATTGATATTCCACAAGACAGAAAATGCTTAGTTAAAATCATCCTTTTTAAGACTCTGTGTTCATGAAGAAATGGTATAACCTGGGCCATGATAATTGTAATCTCTTCCATTCCCAACTGTCCCTGGGAAAAAAAAAAGAGCTTTAGGAAACATGTTAATTTCCTGCAATAAGTAGTCATTTAATTAAAGAACAAAAGTAACAGGAATCAAAAATGCTTGCAGCTGTGATTCTGTTAGACAGTATATAAAAAAGAATGAAATTATAATACATTAAATTAGTTTTTTAGAACATGAACTTAAGTGTTTTACAAACTAACTGTGGTAAGTTCAAAATGTTTTGTCAACATAATACTGAATGACCATGTGTCATGTCCATTTATGTCAGAGGCCTTGGAATGGTAAAGCCTGTACATGCACATCATCTCCTTTTCCAAGATAGACTGCAAAACAGTTTAAAACAAGTGTTAAAAGGAGAGTAGTAGGTTCTTTCAAGTAGCTTTACTTCAGTCTTTATCAACAGATCATCCCACTCCACAGGCCGTCACTCTTCTGACCTCAGAGCGAAGCACATCTCTGGTGTTTCTTGCCATACATAAGTGCTGCAGAGACTTCATCTGCAGAGTCCTTCTTTCACATAAACATCAAGGTGTCCTGGACTGAACTTTAGGGAAA